CTCTAGTCTAGGTCAATTCTAAGAATTTAGAACTAAACCCTATCTTGTAACAGATCAAACAGGGCCAGTTCAAGGCCGATTCATAAAATTGGTTTTGGTAGGGTAAATCTCTAGTCTAGGTAGGGTAAATCTCTAGTCTAGGTCAATTCTAAGAATTTGGAACCAGACCTTATCTTGTAACAGATCAGATAGGGCCAATTTGAGGTCAATTCCATCCAGTTCTAGGTAGAACCTACTCATTTTGCTCACCCCTAGTGTATTTATACACTGCCACAAAAGGCACCAATTAAGAGTAAGGTCATAGGGCTTTTTTTTTATTTTTTTTATTGGACTATTTCTTCAAATGGACAAGCTGAAGGAGGAAACATCAATTTGGCATTTCCCCCAATACTACATGTTTATGTTTCTTAGTAGAAACATTGTACAACTGTTTCTCCAAATGGACAGCTGATGGAAGAAAAATCAATTTGGCTTTTCCCCAACACCCCCTGGTTTATGTTTCTAGTAGAAAGTTGTATGACTTTTAACTCAAAACAATCTCAGCCAAACAGATATTCGATGTTTAAACTTAAAATGCTTAGGTGGTGCTTACATAACAGTGTTTCAAGTAGAAACATCACCATAAACGTCTTATCCATCATCAGGCATTTGTAAAATATTAGAATGCCTTTGTCATATTTCAGTAAAAAAATTTTGCTCTTTACCCATTTACTATGACTAAGAAGGATAGTCATGATTTTAGACCATTAAACTCATGCCTCAAAGATCAATCGAACAATCTTGAAAATTTTTTATTGATGCGCAATGGTTTCAAGCGGTCTAGGCCATGTAAGTGATAGTAATTAGTAAATGATAATACCAAATTAGCCCAAATATTTGAACCACCAAAGTGGTCTCCTAAGATCAATACATCAAGCTAAACCATCCGAGTAACGTGCCCAAATTCAATTAATCTATGCAATCCAAAAAATGTACCTAATCAAGACAAAATTCTAGGCTACCAAAGTTACCTAAGAAGAAATCATTTGTCTGGTCAAAGTAATGTACCATCATATATATATAGGTATAGAGATATAGATATAAATATGATATATCAAATAACACTCAAAATTTCGGCAACTAAATGGGATCTTAATATCAGTCAAGTTATTCCAACCATTCAAATTAAATTATGAACCAATATTTCATTTTATTTGGTCAATAAAGATGTATCCTGTCAACTAAAAGATTTAGTTCAGCAAAGTGATTTTCTAAAATCAATGAATTAATCTCAATCATTCAAGTGATGAATCAAAATTTCAACTAATTTGAGCTATCCATTCAATGTAATGAATGAACATCAATCCAAAATTATAGGCCATTAAAGTGGTCTCTTAAAGGGGGAAAAACTGATCTTAGCCATCTAGGCACCATTCAGATAAAGGCACAGGCAAATTTCTTAAAGTATCTTAAGGCTTAGGAAATTGTTTAAATCTACCTTTATTATTTACATATTATCTTAAAATACCTTTAAGTTTTCTGACAATTAACATTATCAGTAAAGACTAATAGATAAAAATAAAATATTAAATTTGCTCTTTATTGTTCATCAAATTTTCAAAATAAAATTTAACCGATAAAAAATTTCAAGAACCATAAGATAGTTCTAGTCTAGGTCCATTAGAAGGATGAAGAGAAACAACTTTCTTTTTGAATCAATGTCCCGCCCACTTGCAGAACCGTCACCAGTAGCAGAAAGTCAAGGTCATCTGTAACATTGGCTTCTCACCATTCCATTTTCTTAAAACCCTCTCTTCCTCCATCAAATCAAATGTGGTGCATCCACAGAAGAATAGGTCCTTTGTCGTTTGCATGTCCTGGGCCTCTCCTTTTTCCACTCTAATACTAGAAAACCTCTTATACACGTGTATCTATGCATGAATTTTTCATGAGTTAAATGCACCAAGAAAACCATTCAGACTTGAGCTAAAGACGGAACAGAGATTGATGGAACAGTTTAATCTTTTAGATGGAAAGGTGGCCATTCAAAAAAATATATTATTTGTAATGCTTGTATATGGGATGGGTTGTAGGGAGCATCATATACATGTCAATTCCACTACTAACGAGAATACTAACAAAACTTACGGCAATCCTTATCCATGGCTTTAGGGGACTTTAATTTTTTGAGAGAAAACCAAATTGGAAGGCAAGGTGTTATTCTCCTCGGCGAGGATGGACCAAAGAGGAATCCAAACACCACCGATTAAATTGTCGGAGACATTGAAGAAGCAATGGTAATCGCTACGGTGGAAGAGGGAGACGGTAATCTCTTCATCCATGTCAAGGACACTGAATACAGATTTTTCATTCTAGATAGGGTTCAGGGCTTTATTCACGACTATGGTCCGGGACTTATACTTGCCAACCCAAAGCTTGACATAAAAGCCCTCTATCTCTCCAAAGAGAGAGTAAAAACGAATACTGAGGCACTGCAATATTCTTTTTTTTTTTTTTAACATTCATTTTGAGTACAATACTACAATAAAAGACTCCACCTCTATGCAGTATTATGGGCCATGTGGGAAGAAAGGAATGTATGCATTTTCTAGAACAAGGAAATTCCCTTTGAGATAAAGATGGAGATGGATATGAAATGGACTTAGAAGGGTATTTTAGGAATTTTAAAATAATTTTCAGTCATGTGATGTCACATGTAAACGTAGTGCGATAGAAAGATAACAGTTAGGGAGGTTTTAGACAATTGTCAGAAAACTTAAGAGTATTTTAAGATAATATATAACAGTATGATAGAGTCATTAGTCAATTTCCTAAACCATAGGAATACTTTAAGAAATTTTTCTTAAAATTAAATAATAATAACAATAACAACAACAACAACCACCACCAAAGACCTGAACCATCAAAATTGACCTCCAAAGAATAATTAATTAATTTGAACCATCCAAATTATGTATGGAAATTTCAACTAATTTATCCAAGTAAGGTACCAAATCAACAGATCTCAGCCATTGAAGTAGCCCCCTAAAATGACGTAAATAAAAAATTCTGACCAAACAATGTACCAAATCAATCCAAAAATTAGGGCCATCAAAGTAGTCTCTTCGAGCAGTGGGGAAATGGACCAATCTTACCATCCCATCATGTATCAAATTAACCAAAGATCTTGCTTGTCCGTGTGGTATCCGTAAATGAATCAGTGGATCTATACCATCTGATGAGTGATGCGCCAGATGTAGAATATATGATTTATTGCATTAACCAAAATTAGACATTACCTAGTGTGGATTTTCTGCTTTAAAAGTATAAAAACGATATGTTAGGATTAGGTAAATTTTTCTTAACACCATCAAGGGATTAGACATGATATGAAAATCCAAGGGAATAAATGTTGCAAAAATAAATTCAATGTGGAGTTTAAGGCTTGGTTTAATGTATGTTGGACGAAAGGTGAATATGTATCTAGTACATTTGCTTCTAAAAACACAACGAAAAAAAAAAATGATGTATTTATATGTAATGTGTGTAAAATATAATTAAAAATATGCGCTTTCTCTCTCTCTCTTTTACCTTTTACTTTGATCTTATATTATGAAATGTCATTATGTTCAAAGTTAATAGTTTATAATTTGACTAATTCATACTATATACTATTTTGTTTCAAATTGGAATCATATTTTAATTTTTAAAAGATTGTATTTCCGTGCTTTAATTGTCTAAAAATGTTTATAAATTGTAGTCATACTTTCCCTTAATACAAATTTTTGAGAAAATGTCTTCCCACATCATACTAAATAACCACTTTCAGCATTGGATTGGGTGTTAACATTTACATTAGAAACACTAAATTTGATGCTTCATGAAAAAACAGCAATGGTGGCAAATGTTGTATTAATAACCCAAAACACTTGTGATAGCAAAAAATATATTCTCACTAAATTTATATTGACAAAACTAAAATGTTGCAACTTGCAAACCAAACGCAACCTTAGATAATTCTTATTCTTTTTTGTCTGTATCCGTAACTTAAAAATGTAATTAAATTGGGGATATATAAAGAAAATTAGGGGAAATTGATAGTTACTTCTAGGTTCTATCTTTTAAAATATATAGAGAAACAAACGAGTAGTGCTTGGGGAATCACCCATTGTCTATCATGGCCAAGTGGCGGATCAGAAACCACTTATGTTGTGATGCTGATACCCACTTCATATCTCATATTGATGATCATTCTCTGAAAAGTCCACCTATAAATTTGGTCCAAATAGGAGATGGTGGGTACAATATAAAAAATTTTGTAAACTTTTGTTTGCAAAACTTTAATGGGAAGAAAATGTTGGGTGAGAAGTAGCTAAAGGGAAGGGATAGATTGACCTGAAATTTCAGGGAAAGGGATATTTGAGATTGAGACCTGATCTTCGATGCCAACAGTTTGGATTGGCGGGCACTTGGCAACCTTCGGCCACGTTGGGCCGTGGGTGGCTCAGGCTCACCCATGAGCGATGCTCTCTTCCAAACTACATGAGCAATAATTGTTTTGCTCATGGGATATCTTCACCAGTGATTTGACGTGGCTGATCAAAACCGCTCAAACTGAAGGTTGGAACCGCACATCATCCATAACTTAATATTTACATGTCTGCTTTTACTGCAAATTTTCAACAAACAGAAATTGTTGGGGTAACCAACAAGTTGCTAACAGTAGGGTGAATTTACCTGCAGCCATCGGAGAAGGTGGCCCTCTCTGAAACTCATAGTAGTTTAACAGACGAAACTAATAAATATTTGATAATAAAAAGTTAAACAGTATCTAAGATACAGTCCGTGAAGGCCAACTTGTGTTGGTGGGGTCTTTCATTCAGAACTCAAGAACATCTACTTTGACCACACATGAAAACAAAAGCTTGAAAACAACTTCAAAAACAGAACAAGAACTAGTACCAGCTGAGCGGCGGTCTTTTGCTTTCCTCTTCATCTTTTCCTTCGCCTTAACCCACTTCTTCGTTTTGTCTGCAACGGTTTCATTCTTGCAGAAAGTGTAACTTCTGAGGTATCTCTGCCTGCTTATAAAGCTATCATGGACGCTTCGTCTTCCAGAAGAAGAGTTTTGCTCATTCATGCTAATAAGTTTCAAAAACTCTGCATCTGCTTGTGGCCATTGATAGAGCTTCATGAAACTTATTTTAATGGGGGGTTGGGCGTCGTCTAAACAGCCTGCAGCACAGCTTGAGTTCATCTCTGTCTCCGTCTCTCTGCGTCTCCCCTTCTTTCTCTCCCCGGGTACACCGTTAGAAGGAAGCCATGACTTAGACTCCAGCTCCTAGCAGAGCAAGAAGAGCTGCTCAAGCTTTGAATGGGATTCTTGCTTGAATATAAAGACAAATTGCACTCCATAAAAGTGAACCAGGGAAACCAGACGTACTCGGAAACGACAAAAGTACATTACAGAGTTAGAGTTTTATGTATTATTTATTAACTTATATATTAAAAACCAAATATATTTTTTTAAGTGTCTCAATTTTCTAAGGGATAAACACGTTAAAACAAACTCAGAAATTTTAATAAGCGTGATCACTCCCTTGTGTAGGATAATAGTATATACAGTTTTCCTATAATTAAATCACCTAATAAACGAGTTTAACAAAATCACAAAAAATGTAAAAGGTAAAATATTAAGTAAAGACAGTAGCATTGATATAGCAGATCGTTTAACCAAGAACAAAATAGAACAGATCAGTTACAATTGTTGTTGCTATTAATAAATTAAATTAAACTTTCTTTGGTTATACCTAATAAGAAAACCAGGACAAAAGCAACGTGGAATAAGACAAGCAAACTTGTAAATGGGGGACAAAGTTGTATACATTCTCGATGCAGAATCAGAAATGAGAAATTCGGTAGAGCCTGATTTTAGTATATATGCAACTTGGGTGCGGGGGATGTAGATAAAAAAAAACAAGTGAAAAATTTTTCAAATATTATAATTTTCTTCTTTAACTTGGATGGCAGAGAATCTTTGGCACTTTCTATAGGTTTTGTCTGATTGTGGTGTTCTGTACCTTTACAAGCAGCTTTTGTCTCTTTTTATTTTATACAAGTGCTTGATTACCTGTTATTTTCTGAAGCGCATAGAATTGCATATATGGTATACGTTCTACGATTTTTAGGACTGTGATTGGCATTCGATCTCATCCTCCGAATTCGAATTTGAATTTGATCCATTAAGGCCTAAGCTGATGATTCAAATTAAATTGGAAGAGTGGAACAATGATTCAAAATAGGAGGTCAGTACTGTCTTTCCGATGACATCTTGTGAAGACACGTCTAGTTACCATGGATATCCTCCGAGGCTTCAACCTCCATTAATCGATGGTATTTCTTGTTTTCCTGTACTGTTGAACGCTGTCATCAGTGATGTGATATGACAAAACATTTTTCTTCCGGTCCCATCAACATCTCATCTTACTTTTAAACGCTTTTTATGACGTAAAATATTAAAAAAAAAAAAAAACGTAATGTTTCTGATAATCATATAGTTAACTTTAATGAAAAAAAGTTAGATTGATACAATAATATTTTTTAAATACATATTTTACCCTTTTGTAAATTAATTTACATGGGAAATAAAAGAATATGGGTAAATGCATTTACCCCGATAATAAACCTTTTATGAAAAACAATTACTTAGATAAATGCATTTATCCGGATAAATAATTTATGAAATGCAAACAGGGCCTAAGAGTAAAGAGGAAAAGAATGTCCCCTAATTTTGCACTCAAATACCCGGATAGAACTGATCAGTCAAACTCCCGTATCAATGAAACATAAAAGCTCCAGAAGTCGGTACCATACAAGGTTTAAGATGAGACAGACCAAGCAGGTCCTCCATCAAAAAAACAAACCACGAAAAATAAGGAAGAGAACATCCCATGAATTAATGGCCAAAACAAAGAGAATGAAATCTAATGGCCATCGCAGGAGGTGTGAAGAGCTTAAAGCTGAAATCAAGCACACTCTCCAACACCATCACGTCGATCGAAGCTACATATAGATGAGGCCGGGGACCATGAATTTGAAAAAGATGAGTTGAATCCCAAGAACCAAGTGGTTAATACGGAGTCGGAGACTAAAGGTAAAGGTGACGGGGAATAGAGAACGAAGGAGGGGACAATGATGAGGAGATGGAAGGAGAGGATGATGTCGCCATGGAGGAAGGAGAAGGTGAAAGAAGAAATGGAGAATTTATGAGCAGTAGATGCTACGGATGCAGTCCTTGTCTTCTCTCAAAGTATCCTAGATCTCACCTCTAGTTGATGAGAGAAGAATGATTTTCAAGGCCTCTACTCTACAGATGGAGTGGGAACTTTTGAGATGAACCTTCACCATGGTCAAATCCTAGCAATGGAACGTTCCGGGTATGGGTAGCCGGGTTCGGTGTAGACATATAAAGCCTTTTGGGTTAGATTGCATAGTCCTAAATCCTAATTTTTTTTTTTTGTGTGTGTGTGTGTGAAACACGTGTTAACCCAACAAGAAGTAAAGCAAAATTATCAAGATGTTTAATTTTGATAAGCATTATGTTGTGGACCCGATAAGTTATGCGGGTGGACTGTGCTTACGTTGGAATAGTAAAGATATTAACCAACGTGGACACATTTTACGTATGTCCCTCCGAATAAAGTAGAACAAATACCAATATGAGTTGCATTGAACAAGTGTCATCTATCGGTTAATAGAATCGTTGGATTCTTTTAGGACCGAACCGGTATTACTAGCTTTTGAAAAACTGGTAATTGAAACTGAATCGAAACCAGTTTAAATATATATAAAATATTATATTTTAATTAATAAATAATATAATATATTGTAAAGATATATATATATATATATTTTTATATATAATATATATTTATTAATTTATAATATATAAAAATATATATAATATATAATATACATAAATATATATAAAATATATAGAATATATGTATATCAGTCGGTTCGGTTTTTCGGTTCTTTTTCTTTTGCTCACCCCTAGTCATCTAACATGACGGATCCGTGGTTGGACCTGTATATGGGTTGGGTTTGGTTTGGGCTTTGCCTATGTATTAATAGAATATATTTAGGGTCAAGCCCGAGCCCGAGCCTAGCACTCATATAAAACCTGAAGCCTAGGCCCAAGATCGAGTCTGGCCAGAAATTTGAAAATAAATTTATTTTTCTTTTTTTATTTAATAAAAAATGATTTATTTATATTAAAAACCCTCAAAACTCAAAAATAATAAAATATCTCACTATTACTTAAAGAAAGAGAAGAGAAACAAAGAAAAAATATTTTATATATTAAGCAAAATATGTTTTTAATTATTTAATATATATAATCAACCTGATCCAAAAAAGGTCGAACCTAGTGTTTTAGGCCTGAGCCTAACCCCACAGACCTAAAATAATGTCTAAACCCAACTTAGACCAGGCCAGTCTATCAGACTACCTGGCCCATGAACAGGTCTATCCGTGGTGTCTCACTGGAGATTCCCATGCGTATAAGGCCAAAAATGATAAAAGCCATGGAGCTTTTAATGGAACACAAACTATGAGATTTCAAAACAACATTAATAACTGCAGATGAAAGCAAGAGGAAATAAATTTACCTGCATTGTTTCCAAGATTGTTTCCAAAAAGTTAAAAATAAATTGGAAGGATGGAGGGGTAGAACTCTATCAAGAGGGGGAAGACTTGTCTTGCTAAAAGCATTGGAAATATAACCCAATACCAAATGAGTATATTCCAATTCCCCAAACAAGTGATAAGGGAAATGGGATAAACTCCAACATTAATTCCTATGGGGGAACAAAAAGGATAAAAACCTCATTGCCTAGAAAAATGGCAAATCGTGACCAGACTCCAAAAAATCGGTGGGAATTTGGAATGTAGTAATAATGCTAACATAATGAAGTTAGATTGGAGGATATTACTAGACTTCCTACATGTAAATATTTAAAAAATATAAAGAAGAAATGCTCTTGAGCTGAACCCGGCCGCATAGGTGTTTACAACCATATAAAGAAAAAAAAAAAAAAAATTGTTTGATGTGGCAAATAGGAAATGGTAGGAGGTGCAAGTTATGGAAAGACAAATGGGTGGATAAAAAATGTTTGATGTGGCAAATAGGAAATGGTAGGTGCAAGTTATGGAAAGACAAATGGGTGGATAACTACCCTATAGATACCATAAATAATACCCATAATGTAATTGAAATTGGGGAGAATGCAACATTAATAAGGGGGTGTTTTTTTTCTAGATTTTGAGAGGGGGGAAAGTTAGTCATTGGGATTTTGATTTCCATTGACCAAGAAGGTAAATGATACTCATCTCCTCCATGGGTAAATAATTTTTTCACATTGGAGAAAAGTTGTCAAAACTTGAATGGGACAAAAATGCTCCTTGTAATAATGGATTTTTATGGCTAAAATAGTTATTGTCTTATTTGTCTGAGAAATAAAAGAACATGGGTAAATGCACTTACCCCCGGATAAATCTTTTCTGGAAAATACTTATCTGGGTAAATGCATTTATCTAGATAAATAACTTACCAAAAAATGAACGGGGCCTAAGTGAAACCATCTTTAATGAGAATAGAAATTGGGACCAAGCTAAAATGAGCAAGTGATACACAAAATCAAATCGATAGTCCTACCCTTGGATGACAGATGATAAGATAATGTGAGGATCCAGTACCAGTGGGGAACTTATGAGATCCTCAATAAGGAGGAAACCCCATTTGAAACGCAAAGGAAAATTATAAAAAATAAAAAATAAACAATATAATACGTCCTCCAAAGATAAATCTTTCTTTGGATAATCATGAGAAACAAACTACCCACTAAGGTCAAGTTGTGTAATAAAGGTTTTACCATTGATCCTGATTGCCAAATCTGTGGAGAGGCCGAGGATTCAATGCACGTCTTTTCTAACTGTGAAATAGCAACGCAAGCTTGGGGAACAATTGGTAATAATATTGTAGGCCCGGATTAGAATAGACACCAGAAGTGTCTTAAAAGTTAGAATGGTGGAATGAAATGCACAAACTGAGACACCTCAAAGAATCGAATAAGGTGCGGGAGAAAACAGGTTATATATCGTGTAGTATTTATGGAAAAACAGAAATGAAAAAATATTTAAAAATAAGAATTATAGCCCACTTTAAATTATAGAGCAAGAATTATATATCAAGTTGTA